ACACACAGACTGTGAGTGGATGTGATAAAAGCACATCGAATACCACAGAAAGGTTAAGTGGGGTTGACGGATGGGAGAATCGGTTAGATCATACCTTGGCAGATATCGCGCAGCCACAGAAACGCTGGCATTGATACACTCGTCCTCTCAGTTCTGACACGTAGCCATCTCATAGGATGATCATAATTTTTGCCCATTCCTCCTAAATCATCATCACACACTAATAATAATAATAATAATAATAATATTATTATTATTATTATTAGTGTGTGACGATGATTTAGGAGGAATGGGCAAAAATTATGATCTTCCTATGAGGTGGCTACGTGTCAGAACTAAGAGGACGAGTGTACCAATGCCAGCGCCTCTGTGGCTGCGCGATATCTGTCAAAGTATCTAATCACCACCGGTATGATCATCACACACTGGTGTAAATTACCAACAATTTTAGACAACACGAATCCAGATCACTTGGTTTATCGCGAAGATCAAAGTTCATTCCTCTGGCTTGGCTAAGTAACGCAAGATGACCCCCGTAGTGGTAACATTATAACTGGTGGAAGTGGGTAAAAAATAAGACAATCCGTTGTTCAAAGAAGAAATATGGCAAGTAAATACAAGGGCCGGGAAAAGACACAGTAAAAACAACCGAGCTGTCGAGGTGGAACCTGGAGCTGAAAATTATCAATAAGGTGAAGTTGCTAGGGAACGAGAGAGGCTTCCCATCTGCACTTGAAAATCCAACCCGTAGAGGATTACTAAGTCTAACAGGTCAGCTGTTTGTAACAGAAAACGAGGGTTCTTGTATTATTTTTATGTAAGTGCTTTATGTCTTGGTAGTGGTTTTCAGGATTACAACTTGTCTCTACTGATTTTGAATGCGGCTAAGCTTTAGTTGATGCAATAGACGAAGATCTTCAGTCGGAATTACGCAGAACTAACATAATGGGAATCTCAAGCTGCATGCAACCCAGCGCTATATGGTTTCCAACATGCTGAAACGTGAGCTCAGTGGACAAAGCACCCACAATTTATTTATTTATTTATTTATTTAATATTAATGTCGTGTTCGTTGAGATGTCCGAACATGTTTTTCTCTACACGGAATCGAATGGGTTGAGGAAAAGTCCCTTACCTTAGAGTTGACTAGCCTGCAGATGAAGAGAGTTAAGTGAAGCATCTTCCTGTCGATGGTCGTCACGATCATATTTTATTGTCTTAGTAGTTGTCAATAGTGACGTAAAGTACCGGACAATAACATGTGAACTACCACTTTCGGTTAATGGGAATATCGGTTTGACAGGTGAGGAAGTTGCAGACAACACAAGTTTAGTGTTGATGAAATCGAAGGTTAGGTAAACCGGAAACCATCAAAATAGGATGGGCAAACAATACAGGAAGAGACAACAACAATTGGTTGAAAACTCAGACATCCAGCGGAAGTCAAGGGTTTAGTTTCTACGACAGGAGTAGAGAACATGTGTGCAGAAGGGTGTGACTGACGTGGCAAAAGGTGGTGAATAACAATGAGGCAAATGTTGATGTGTTGCCTGGTTGGATTCCACCACACCACCACACAACCGGCGGTGTATGACAGGTTAGTCGCATAAAATAAATGGTATGTGAGCGTGTTGGTTGCATTCATCCTGCCGACTGTTTGTACACCTGCAGCGCACCATGGGGAAATGACCGTTTCTCGGTTCAATCAGCGGGATTATTATACCCATGGATAATAAAAAGACGAAGTAACAAGCTTCGCCCGTGTTATAACGGTCTGGTTGTAACCACTCTCTTAGTCAAACGAACGAACGACTTGCGGGTGGTATACGCACAAGGAAACGTAGCCGACGGAATTCGGTTCGTATGACCTGTGAGACTCAGTCGCTAAACATGTTCCACTCGCAAGCTTAATCGAGCGACTAGAACGAACGCGAACCCACGCGCGTCTATAAGACCCCGAGAGAGAAGAAAAACTAGCTCTTCGCAGTACACGCCTTTAACTGGTACAGCAAAGATCCTCTGCTGCGGGTCGTGTAGACGCGTGTGGGGTTCGCGTTCGTTCTTGTCGATCAACTAAGCTTGCGAGTAGCAAGAGTTTAGCGACTAACTCTCATGGGTCGTACGAACCGAATTTCGTCGGCTAGGTTTCTGTGTGCGTACAAAATTCACAAGTCATCCGTTCATTTCGACTATGAGTCGCTACAACAAGAAGGTAATAACAGCCGATACCAGATTTGCCGACTTTGCTCTTATTATGAGACAGAGAGAAAGCGGGGAACCGGATTATAATTCCAAGGGTGGTTATCGATATGGTCAGGTCATTTCCAAAGCAGCAGCGAATGCTCAAGTGCTCTCCAGTCGTTGAGCCTGTGGTGAAATGTCCACTTCCGTTTCTCTGCACGAAATAAAGCTGACAATTATTGTTGCAAGTAGAATTCAACAAAAATCACCCGCGGAGCGGATGTGAATCTGTCTGAAATTTTTTTCATATGAGAGAGTAAGCAGTTTGCACATCAAGGTTACGATACCACTGATTATGATTGCACCACCGTTCGACACGCAGTACCAAGGGAGAGCAAATCCAGGCCACATCGCCGTATGTACTGGATGCACATGTAGCGCCTCGTGCTTATCGTCGTTGACTATGGACCGATGCTACCCAGTCTGAGTCCAACAGAGCAGCAGACGGCCTACCGTTATTGCTCGCAATGTCTGCTGCCTCTTTTGATACGCTGTAATGAGGTAACTTGACCCTGTGCACATTCACAGCCAGGTCACAGCTGGGGCGACAAATAATTGGGTCGGCGATTGAAGCGAAGCGGCAGGCTGGAGTTTTGCTCCGATTGCCGTCACCCATACACACACACACACACACACACACACGTGGTTTTCTATTTGGTGTCAAGTGGTGCGTGTGCACACACCCACACGCACACGCATGAGAACAATGAGCTAAAAGACCTACCGAATGAAAGCAAGTGATAGACAGTAACCTGAGGATATTAAAATGTTTTCCGAACCAGGCAATGACTCGGTATCATGCCACACAACACGACTATTGTCTGGCTTGGTAACATAACACCTGAAACAAATTCGCCTAGCTTGGAGGACAAGTCAGCATTCTCATCCAAATTACGAATTACGAGTCTTCAATAATTACCAGACTGATTTGTTCACTAAATAGGTGCAGTCCATATGCGATGTCTAAGCACAAGTAAGTGCGAATGGACAAAGAAAACAGAATAAGACCAATACCGACCTGATTATCTGGTTGACGCCATCCGACGATGCGATAAGCCTCTGTTCCATTTTGCTGTAGTATTTGGATCCATGCAATTGCCCGGGTGCCGCCACTAGGAACCCAAGTACGTAGCTCTGGGTCAAAAAGCAGTACGAACGCCCGTGAAGTGGCCACGGGGGACTCCCTGAGAGGTGAACACAAAGCAACCAATTTACCCTCAAAAACGGCGAAAATAAAAGCGTAGGTGTGCATGTGCAGATGGACAAGATGCAGTAAAAATACAATATGAAGTTAAGAATTAAGAGAAACAAACTAGATAAATGCGAGGCACCAGCGTCATCAGCAGTCATCCACAGCACTACACTAATCTACTTGTTGTGGCAGTCTACCGATTATAGTGCTATTGGATAAATGTTAAACACTATATATATATATATATATATATATATATATATATATATATCGCAGGATCAACAGGCAGCACTTGCCCGAACATTAGAGACCCTCTCGATCGATATCTGCTGCTTATCAGAGACCCGCCTGCAAGACTCCAGTTCTGTGCTCACTCTGCGATCCCCTTCAGGTAACGCAAGCAGTATTTTCGCATTTGGCCTATCAAGTGACCATGCAGCTTCGAGCACCGGCCATGCAGGTGTTGGCATTGCCCTGAGTCCAGGGCTGAAGCTGCTCTGGTTGCTTGGATTCCAATCAGTAGCCGGATGTGTGCGGTCCGATTGGTTGGCTCGTTCAAAGATTCGAAGTCGCGCGGGACTAATAGGTGTCTATTCATCATCGCTGCCTACGCACCCACAAACTGTAGCGATGATTCGGCAAAGAACGACTTTTACCGCCAACTGACCCAGCTTCTTCGCCACAGAAGAATCACCGACACTGTTGTGCTGGTGGGCGATCTGAACGCGCAAGTTGGAAAGTTGTCCACTGATGAAATGCGTCTGGGCGGTCAGCACGGTGTAGGCTCCCGTAATGATAACCGTGAGCGGTTACTTCATTTGTGTGAAGATGCCCGCTTATTTCTTGCGAGCACTAACTTCCAACCCAGCACCCGCCGGAGGGTGACTTGGAGCCCACCAACCTCGAACCAGCCTTGGACGCAGATCGATCACATTGCGATAAGTTACCGCTGGAGAGACTGCAACCAGAACCGTCGCTCAATTTGGAGCACATGTGTGGACACCGATCATGTACTTGTATGTGCTGACATGCGGATGGGCTTTGGCGGACGTCTATCACGACGCTGTGAGCGCATTGACACCAACCAACTGACAAAGCCAGCTGTTCTGAATGCGTATCGAAGTACGCTGACATGCGAGTTGAGTAAGCGCTCATTGGAGACAATTGATGGCCACTGGTCACATGTTCACCAGACCTTACTAACAGCAGGCAAATCCTCATGTGGTATGTCTAACAGCCAACATGGACATTGGGTCTCTTCGTGGTTTCTGGAACTTATCAACGCTCGCCGACATATCCCAGCTGGAAGCGAACACAATGAAACTTGCAAACAGCGTCGGGCAAGACTCCGTGCTAGTCTGAAGAGAGGCCGCGAATCTTGGTAGTCTCATCGTGCGTGGCCGCTGTCCTTGGTAACCATCCGCCTGATAAGAAGAACGGGCAGCAGGAGACCTAGTGTTAGTGAAACTATACGTGACGAGAATGGACAGCCTATCCACAACTTGTGAAAACGTTTGGAGCGTTGGGCTGAGCATTTTGAAAAGCAATTTAATCGGCTAGAATTGTTCGATTCTTCGCAAGCCAGTGGTCGCCCTTTTCCGTAGGCTGTCCCTTTGGATCCACCCTCTCGCTCAGAAGTCGAACGTGAGATCGGACTGTTGAAGTTGAACAAAGCCGCAAGACCAGATGATCTTCCTCCAGCCCTCCTCAAATTCGGAGGCTCTGTTCTTGTTGATGCGTTACATGAATTACTAGTGAAACTGTGGGAGCAGAAGACTGTCCCAACCGACTGGAGCTGCTACGTTATTGTTCCCATCTTCAAAGGAGGATCGCGTTCGGAATGCGACAACCATAAAGGAATCAGTCTGATCTCCGTCGCCTCCAAATTACTCGCCTCCATAATCCTTCACAGACTGACTGGCGCACGTTGAAGCCAGATTCGTCAGGAGCAAGCCGGGTTTCGTCGGGGTCGTGGCTGCATCGACCACATCTTCACCTTGCGTCAGTTGTTGGAGCACTGTCACACATATTGGCGGCCCACCGTAGTCGTGTTCCTCGACATCACAGGTGCCTTCCATTCGGTTGGTCGATGTGTCCTTTAGAATCGTCTACTCAGGAAAGGTGTGCCCGAAAAATTTATAAGTATTATCCGAGCATTATACGCGCGTAGCAGGGCAGAGTGAGGGCTTACGGCAAGATGTCGCCACCCTTCAATATCTCCAGCGGTGTGAGACAAGGAAGTCCGTTGTCACCTTTCCTCTTCAACTTCGCTATTGAGGAAATCATTAGAAACTGAATTTACAGGACATGACTTGGAAGGTGTGGAGCTACTCCCAGGAGAACGACTTCTTGACTTAGAGTATGAAGACGACATTGCCCTCATCTGTGACAGCTCACAGACATACCAAGCCGCGCTGGACAGATTAGCACTGGCTGTCAGCCGCTTCGGGCTTTGCTTTGCACCATCGAAGTGTAAAGCGTTCCTCCAAGATTGGTCTGGACCGCCTCCTTCGCTGACCCTTGGTTGGGATCAGCTAGAAGTCGTTCAAAAATTCAACTACCTGGGAAGTTGTATCAGCGTCCGTGGGAATAAACATGAGATCACGAACTGTAAAGCAAAAGCTCGAAGTGCTTTTGCTAACCTTCGCCACCTATGGCGGCGGCGCGACATTACTCTCGCCCTGAAGGCTAGAGTGTGCAATGCAGCGGTACGTTCGACCTTACTGTACGGTTGCGAAACCTGGCCCCTAAGATCGGCGGACATAAAGAGGCTAGTTACGTTCGACCACCGGTGCCTTCGCAGTTTGGCTCACATCTGGTGGGAACACCGCGTGAGTAACAAGCGTGTTCGACGTATCGTTTACGGCACAGAAAAAGGAACTGAACCGCTCAGCACCGTCATTTCACGCACTAGGCTCCGATGGCTAGGCCACGTGTTGCGCATGCCAGCTCATCGACTTCCACAACGTGCGTTGTTTGCTCACTGGGGATGTGGATGGAAGAAGAGGAGGGATGGTCAAGCGATGACTTGGTCCAGAGGAATGAAGGCCCTCAGTTCTGAGCTGGCCTCGGTTGGAGCGTCACGGCTCCCTGGTTGGGGTTCAAAAGACGATGAAAACGTTTGGCTGTATACACTTGCTGATATGGCAAGGAACCGACATCAGTGGCGTTCATGCTGTGAGTTTCTTTGTCCCTCTCCATCCCTTTTAGCCTCCCCTTTCATCTACGATCTTATTTCTTAGCGTAAAACAATATTTTTTTCTTTCTGCCTAGTATCCGGCTGGTAACTTACTGGAACGATGCTTATCCGTTGCTGGTAGGTCAGCTGGCATGCAACTGTTGTATTTATTTTCCTTTTCATTTATGTAATGCGGCACAGTAGCTGAGGTGTTTGCCACGTCTAGCTGACGTGTATAATAATGAATGATATATCGCAGGAAAGTCCATAGCTCCCTTAGGCTTCGGGTGGCGAAATCCTAACAGATCACTGACCCACTATGTTTCGGTTACTGTCAAGGACTCGTGTCGTGGACCCATCTTCGTAGCGATAGCTGAGTGGGAATAGGGTTGCACCTTTCTTCTAGCCAAGAGCCAGGACACATCCACGTAAGTCGATTGACTAGCGGCGCATTTCATCCTGTCTTTTTGGAGTATATTTTATCGTAGATTTTGTCTAAGAACCCGAATCGTTCAGATATGGATGCTCTGGAAGCATAACAGTCCAACTACCAAATATGAACCTCACAGCTACAGGTAAATTCACGCTGCGTCGACCGTCATGCAATGAGGAGTGAGGAAAGGATTGTTTGGTCTGCTGCACACAGCAATGTGGATAAGGGAAAACACGTCACCGCTTGCGCCTTCCTCCTTCCTTCTTCTCATTTTCCTTCAGCTTTGCTAGTCCCATCCCCTATTTCACATGACCCACCCTAAATGCTCTAGCCCTCACCCAAAACCATTTCGCCAGTCCAGCGATTACCCAGCGCACGGAAAACTCCCAAAATTGAATGCTGTAACGGTTGCAAACACTAACCAGTGCACCACTGCACTACCCCTCATGGAACTCGGTCGTTACGGCGTTGATAGCGCTTGACTAAGACAAACTGTAAGAGGATGGTGTTGGATAAACATTATGCTGGGTGAGGAATGTCACCGCAGAACATGATGATGGATTTATGCGACCGCCTTAATAAATAAATAAATAAGCTTTATATCTTCGGCTTCGCGAGGTACGCTATTAAGAACAACAACAACAACGACAACAACAACAACAACAACAACAACAAGTGTACATCAGCCATTTGACCTGAGGCTTCACTGTCATACTATCATGAGGACCTATGAAATAAAGAATAATAGGATGGAAAGAAGGTGGACTTACCTGAAAACCTTAATGCCCTAAGCAAACATTCAGGGTCAAGGTGCCTACACCTTGTGTAGACAACATACCGTCACAAACAGCTGGCTATCGTGCAAAGATAAGGCGGCATCGGCAAGACAGCTTTCTTGAGGCTTTCACTGCCCCGCGTCATAATCAGTCATTACCCCGCAGATAACTCCGCACCACACACACACTTTAAACAAGCAGTCAGACTGAGACGGCAGCAGACGCGCCATTTGTGTTGGTTAAGAACAACGTCCTGTAAAGTCTCCAACCAAGCATAAGGCGAGTCAAGTGGACTCCAGCCCGGAAGGCGAGACGGACAAACAGCACCCAGTTTGGTCGTCAGTGATTTCATTTCCCTCTGCCAAGTCAACTTCTGTCCACCTCGAGCCTTGCGCCACCCTAATCGTGGCAGACTAAACAATGGCCTACTGGGTAAGCAGTGACCAGGTATAAGTATCACATGCCCGAGCCAACGCAACTTTTTCAATGCCATCTGTTGTTCTAGGGAGTTAGCATGATCATCACTACCTAGTACTCGCCTACGCACATTATCGTTGCGGAAACGCGGGTGTCAACCGACACCAGCAATGCATTGTAAACAACGT